CCGGGGATCTAACAGGGGACCTTGGGCTTTCAAGGCAGGCGCTGGAACCACTGAGCTAAATCCCCGGCCCAGTGATGGCCTTTTTATTCCGCAGGGTTGAAAGTTTCTGGTCATGCTCTGATCCAGATCTGCCCTAGATGTGTTTGTAACACAGCAAGCCCCACAGTCTGCAGACATGTGCCCATTGATTTGGGGATGTCCTCATTGTCTCCTTGGTGATTTATGACACAGGATTGCTGGGCACCTGGATGTTGCCTCCATATCTGTTTTCCTCTGCTTTTCCTTCCCTCTTGTTTCCTGGGAGCTCTTTGCTCTGTGTCTTTGTTTTCCACCTGGCTTCCATTTTCACCCTCTTTCCAAATGTCCTGTCTCTTGAAGCTGGTCAGCAGTGTTGATCTTGGAGACCCTTCTTCTCTGCTTTTGCATTTTTCACAGGAGGCTGATAGTTCTTTGATGGCATCCAGTGACGCTATTTAGAGTTATGATGATGACCTCACTCTTCCCCGAATTACTTCTGTCCTCTCAGACTCAGGCCCAGAGCACACTCATCTCCAGCCTCTTCCGCTCCAGGCCTGGCTCTCCAGACGTCTGATGGCCCTGCCTGGGAGGCCCCGTCTGAATGCTAGTACAGGCACCAGTGTATAGGGAAAGCTCTGGGGTCACCGCTGACCTGGGTGTCCCTGTGGCCTCTGCCTGTTTTCTTTGCAAATGGGCAGGGCGTGTGGAAGGGCGAGTGCCCCTGGAAACCAGCAGAGAGCTGATAGGCAGATAGTTCCCCGAGGATGGACCAGTACTGAGCATTTCAGCCCAGATTTGGGGAACTCATGCCACCTTTAGACTTGTTTGTCTTGTTTTCCATGAAGGGCTGAAGTCCTCAAGTGCCCTGTGCTCTGGTTCATACTTGGGCGTTTTCTCACTAGGACAGGGGATGGTGGGAATAATTCTCCATCTCTGGAAGCCCAGACCATCTCAGAATAAACTAAAAAATGTGTAAGATTACTAAGAAAACCAATTATATTAAAATGCAGTTATCAAATGTTACAAAACCTATTTGATATAGAAACATGCTTGCTTCTTTATTAAGACATTACATAACAAAGTCTAGCGGTGGGACAACCGTAATTTGAAGTTAACAGTGAACATAAGCAATATACTGGGATAACCATGAAAGCTATAATGCGATAGGAAAATACCCATGATTTCTTTTGGTGACAAAGTCACAGTTACAGCTAAACTCTTGTGTTTACTGCCCACATGCTCATGTGCCATGTTAACTTTTAGTTAGAGACATGGTAAGTACCTTGCACATTTCCCCCATGCCCCGGGCACCCAGCCCCTCTTAGGATAGTTTCTGGCTCTGGCGTGAGCTGAACTTACTGTAAGAAGGTTGGGGTGGGCACGCCTGCCCAGGACTTTTGCAGATACAGCTTCCTAGCAGATACCCACCAGCCACATCACTGTCCGTGCCCCTTGGATGTGTCATCCCCCTTTTGCTTCTTCCCGTGGCCCCGCTTTTCTATACAGCACCAGTGCCCAGGCCTCTTGTCTTCTCTGTCCTGGCTGTTCTCCTTCTCGACACCATGTGGCTCTATTGCCTTTACAGTCATTCATGTCAGGGAGACTGGTGTGCCCCCTGGGCCTGGACTGGTTTCATTCACTTGAAGTCACATGCTGCCATCCTGAGCTGACTTCCCAGTGGCATCCCGGCCCCCTTGGTTTGTAGTTAACCAGCTGTTCTGGGTGCCAAGCTCAGGTTTCTCCATTTTATCCTGAGGTTTCTTTTCAGGGCACCAGCAAAACCCCACATATTTCCTAACAGAAGTCTTGCCTCTAAGAATTTTGTTCCCCACGACAATAGGCCACACATCCCACCTGGTGCAATTATATCAGTAAGCCCTGCCTCTCTTTATGAACTTCCTTTCTCTTTGTCCTCTCCAGTTCTCTTTACAAAAGGTTTCTCCAAATTGTTAGTTTTTTGAAAGTTCCCTTGGTGTATTTAAGATACTCTTCAATTTTCCAGGCTTTAGACAATATGCACCTGATTGGGGACAGAGGAGACGTCAGAGGTGGCTCCTCTCTTGATTGAGGTCCTTCCGGGGCCAAGGTTGTGCCCAGTGTATGAGCATCCCCGAGGCTCTGAGCTCACTGGGTGCAGAGCCTGCTCCAGGGGAGGCTAGAGGCCAGTGACCTTGGCGGAGGTCAGGCTTTGTAAGCCACGGAGGGCAGGATCCTGAGGGCTGCAGCCTGGACAGCTCTACTGCAGAGGTCTAGGGGTGAAGGGGTGGGAGCACTTACAGGAAGTAGGGTTTGGAGAGGGGCTGCACAGGGAGGGAATTGCAGGCTCTTCCAGGGCAGGCCCAGAGTTTCCTAGTTCCTTGGCTGGTGGAGCCTGGGGCTTCTCTCCCGGTGAGGTACTGGGCCTGGGCTTGTCTCTCCTAGCTTGCTGGGTGGAGGCCAGGGCCATGGCGTCCAGAGGTGATAAATTGCTTTTCAGCCAGCTTCTGTCTGACCAGGTGTGGGCACAACTGCCAGGTCAGGCAAACAGCACGGAGCTTGGGGGCAGTCCTGGCTATAACCTTAACTTGCTAGTTGACTTGGTGCTAGGTCTCATGCTTCTGGAGGCCTCAGTTTACCCCCATGTACAGTGAGAGGCTCGATCTCTCTGACCTCTAAGAGCCCTTCAGGGCTGGCTTCTTAACCTACCGGGCCTATACACACTTGCAGGCTAGGACACAACTTCTCGGCAAAGCCACTACCCTGCAGGCTCCTCGCTTTCAGGACTCCCCCACAGGCCAGGGCATAGGTTCAGGCAGGGACCAGGCCCTGATTTCTGCCCAGAGCTGGCATTTGAAATTCGGTGCAGGCACACATGCCTTAAGGCCTGCCGAGCCGGTCCAGGAGCTGAGCTCTGGATATAGGACACCAGTGCCCCCTACTCTGAGATGGGGTTGTGGGAAGGGACTTTGGGCAGAAACAAACACGCCTTTCCTGGAGGAGGAACAGAGGCGGTGTGGGCCGGCGTTGGCTTGCTCCCTCCCAGCAGACCTTGGGCATCTACAGCGTGTTTTCCGGTTTAGGGCCACTGGAGAAGGATGGCAAACAGCAGGGCCCAGCGTGTGCGTGCGCCCGCGTTTCCAGGCAGATGTGCGTTTTCAGACCCACAAAGAAGCCTGCTCTGAGCCCATCCAGCCACCGGTCAGTCCCAGGTCATGGCCTCTCCTGGACCGTGAGGTACACAGGGCTTGGACTCGACTTCAGGCCGCGCGTCCCCCGCTCCACACTCCGGCGGCGGCCGGCTCTGCAGTGAGGCTCCTGAGCACCTAGGTGGAGCCCGACCCGCAGTTTTCGGCTGGACCGGCCCCACCTGACCCACTGGCGCGCCAGGCGGGGGCGCTGCACGGCGGCCGGGGTCCCCGGGGTCCCCCGCGAGGCCCAGTGCGCATCGGCAGCTCCGCGGACCCGGCGGAGCGCAGACAGTGCGGCTCTGCGCCTGGGCTGGCGGAGATCCGCGCCGCGCTCCCCTCCCGCCGCCTCTCCAGAAAGGACTGCGCCGAGACGAGCAGAGCGGCGGGCGCGCGCCCCAGGGCCGAAGCGGCGGCGTCCCGCGGGCGGCG